CGGATTATTCGGACGTGGGAAAGTAGGTCCAGTTGAACGAGGTGGCCATTTTTGATTCGGCAAGGTAGCAGAAACTGCAGCTATGGCGGCCAAGAGGGCGACAGCGATGAACAATTTCATGTTGATTATCTAAAAATATAAATCATATGTTAATTGTAATTGATTCAGGTAATTTAAGTATATAAGAATTGTAAGACGCGAAATAATTTTGTGTAACATTTTGCAGGGCCCTTTTGCAATAGGCCGGCCCAGACTAGGGGAAAGAAAAAAAACAGGAGACGCGTAGAGTGAGTCGTCGCCTGACGAGCGAACCGAACATATCTAAAGCACGAGCTCTAGGTGAATGTTAATAAAGAATATCTTTACGAATTATCCCGATCTACCTACTGTGATTCTGCCGCCACGAGAAGAGAAGTAAATGCTTTTACAGAATGTAATTATCGACGCTTCTGTTACAATAAATACCACATAACTCTTAATTTAGTTAATTGTGTTTTGTTGATATGAAGCTTAAACAAATAAATCAAAACAAATTTGCAAAAATATATCAAAGAAGTTTATCTTATTGGCTCGTGTAAAAATGAACTTAATGTAAAAATCTTCTATTATCAATTATCTGCAACTTATCATTTGTGCTGCAAAGTACTACGTACCGTAGAGTTTCTCGAGAGAAGATTGGAGAGTTAATGTATTTCTGGTCTAAAGTCCTGACTTATATATGCATTATTCAACGATATAAGTATAGACTTATCATTAAGTTTTGTGTATTAAATGAGTAGCGCGGGATTACCCGGAACATTTTATGATATGAGGGAAGCACCAAGCTACCGAGTTAAAGTACCGTATCTCCTTCTTTCGGTTTGGTTTCTTGAAACTGGGAAAAATGTGTACACTTCCTGATAAGGTGGCGAAATTGCTGTTGACAATTAACCGATAAATTATGAACACTCGATAAAGCACATTACATCTAAATTATGTAAAATAACGTGAACTATAAATATTGTGGACTATTCAATGAATTTATTTCACAAATCTATGCTAATTTAGTAGTATATAGTATATTTAGTAGTATTTGTCTGCTCTGTACTCGAAACTTGAATTTATCAATAAAAATTTATAGAGGTGATTAAAATATTTATTTGTAAGTTTATACACCTATGTCTACAATCAACTATTCATGCAGATATGTATACATATATTGTCATAACGAATCCAGAGGATTAATGAAAAAATTGACCCTCAGATTTCACAACTGAAAATCTATTTGAAATTGATAAATTTGGAAAGGGCGCCAAGCATAACAAGCATAAGAAATTATACCGCAATATGAACAGTGGCGTGAATCGAAGACAAAAGTTTTAGAAATATTTACTAAATTCATAAGGTTCAATTAAAATGTATACAAATCAAAGTATTCAGAAACGTCCAGAAAGAATGAACCCGCAGACGGACTCGGCTTACTAAATAAGTAAAAAAATAATAATAACGGAGGCTTCAAGAAAAACTCATTTATTTGAGATATATTCCAAGGTTCGTATCTGTGTTATCGTTACATATTACTCAGGAGATGCATTTAGAGCAAAAGATTTATTATACAGTAGGGCTTACTCTGTTTTGTCTGTCCAGTGTATGTATGCCTACGGCGCTCCTGGTGACTTACCCGAATATTTAGACCCCTACTCAGGCGGTGAGGAAGGATCATTGCAATTCTTTTCTTTTTCGTAATATCATTTTTATTTTACTTTTGTTTACTCTCTGCTTTGCGGTTATTTGTCGAATTTGGTAGATGGATTGAAATTAATGAGCGGTAGTGTAAAGCAATACATTTTTAACCCTAGAACGGCAGACTTTTTTTCATCTTCTAACGGTTGACTGGGGTGAATATCAACCCCACGTGGTTCATGTTTGTAAAATCGTTCCAATCAGAGATAAAGGGGCTTGATAGTACTTGAATTTCTTTGGTTTTTAATAAGGAAGAGAATGGTAAAAAGTAAAATCAATTTCATCGAGGTTTAAATCATGAAAATTCCATCTAAAGATAAAATAATTGTGAAAATCAACAAAAACCCCACTTTTTACACAAATATTTGTATTTTTTTTTGTAAGTAGCTTATTCACAAAAAAGGCCTTTCAAAGAGGATACATTGGACTATTAGAAAAAAACTGCCATCGAGATGCTCCGTTGAAAAAGTATATTTATTAGGGCATCGTTTAAAGTACGCATGGGGTGGATATCCATCCTAGTCTGATGTTCTAGGGTTAAATATAAGGAATCAAGGATTCTAAAAAAACACATTAAAAATGTTCATCTGTGCTTATTAAATGTGTTAAATGCCGCTCTCTTTTACGTCGTAAATTTAGTGATAAGATACAAAACTTACTTCTCATAATATAACGGTAAATGTGCATCTGTTTATAATTTTTATTCTGTGATCAGTTGATACATAAATGAATTCAATAAGCATTGCTTATACGTTCTATGAAATATTATACGAAAATAAACGTGCCCTAAATTAGCGAACCCGCCACATCAGACGCCTCTCCCCTGCTTGTAATCCAAATATATATGTCTATGTCAATTTGTTAATTACGAATTGTAAACCAACGGATCAAAATTATTCTAATTCATATTTACGTGAAATATTAATTGTCCGGTAATATCAAATGTTTAAAATTTATAACTACAAAATTAATACGTTCGACAACATATGAGTGCCTTATACGTATGACTATCGTTAATATGCCTATCGGTTTTGTACACTTAACCTGCATTCTAAAGAGACTACGTCTTCATTGAATTCTAGTGAATATCATTTTTATACATATTTTGCATTGTACTAAGGTGGTCCGATCATTGGGTGCATTTTCAAATAAAGGTCCAGATTTTATATATGAATTAGATGGTTACTCAATTTCGAGCGATGCAAAATTTGAATGATTTATGACTCGAAGTTAAACATTTACTTATACATTTACAAATTAATTTTTCAACTTAAAATTATGTAATTTTATATAACCTCTGAGTATCTACTACATTACTATTATGATGACTGAACCACATCAAACCAGTATTTAAAACATTAATCTTATATTATGGCAATTATATTGTAGAATACCTACTAAGCTAACACTGTTGTTATTTAGTTGGCACTGAAAAGTCCCAAAATGAATTCGAAAATAGCATGCAAAATGCACATTCGGAGCAATAAATAGAAAATTCTATAAAAATACAATAAATTAATTTTGTGCAACAGTTCAATGACGTGCTTGTAATGAAGTAATTTTGTACTTGAATGTGAAATATGTTAATAAGGTATTTCTTATAAATTCTTCTTAACGCAAAGCAATAAGGAAAACTTTCGTATGAATACCGCGATGGGATTCCCCTGTCTTCGTTTCAAGCTTCGGTTTGTTTCGCGTGAACGTCGTCAGTCACTCCAGTACCTATATAAGACGCTTACAGTCTACTAGTCGCATATTCCCATTTGTTTTTTCGCACTCAGTATCCTCAGCTGTGTCAGAAGCAAGTAAGTAATAGAGATTAGTAACTTGAAAACTAATTAGTAATGGTTTTTTTACGAAATGCATGTGATAATGCTAAAGTGATAATTCATTAGTAAAAAATGTTTCCAAAACATATTAAATATTATGGACAATCGTCATGAAACAAATTTTATTAATATTATGAAATATACTTCGTAATTCCTTCACTTACACTTTTTTAGTAAATCTCTTTTTTTATACATAAATTTAATACTCAACCTTCATCCACAAAAACTGTCTCTGGAATTTTTCAATTTCATATTAAGAAGATGATCGTTATCATCCATATTGCAATATACTTTCAAAGCATTTCCAAGAAATAAAGTCTTCTAAATCATAATTGATATTAATATTTAAGTAAACCACGATTTTTAGAACCGGTCATACAACTTTTGTTCGGAAGACTAATAGGATTTGCTTTTTTGAGAACAATTTTCGAATACTTCAGTATATTTGTATGACTTCTAATATGTACTATTACTAAATATTTATTTACAGATCTGCTAACATGAAGTTTTTCGGAATTGTAATGGCTATGGTCATCGTTGTTCTCTTGGGATTTACAACAACGGAAGCACAGAGATTCAAATATAACATCCCACCATTCAATCCACGTGGACCCCCCAAACTACCGCCCATCAGATTCTGAAAATTCTAAAAGGAAGAAAGAGGAATTGGTTAATAAAAAATCTATATTTAATAATTAAATGTATCACATATATAAAAAATATTTTTGTCTATAATAAATAGTCATGTTACCCACAATACCATGTAACAGGTGAATGTCTAAATGGATAAAGGAAAGGAACGAATGCACAGCATATACTGAAAAACGTTGGTAGGCAAAATTTATCAAAAACGTTGATAAGTCATTAATATTTGTGAATTTCCGAAATTCTAGATTTTAATAAAGTATATACATGAATTACGTTCATTTTGCAATGGTAATTACAGAAAACGTATAATTTTGTGATATTTGTTTCACCGTACATCAAGGCAAATATATCTGAACGAATATTTTTTCCCAGTAACAGATGTATCTCTTAAACAATGTCACTTCAAAATAGTACCAAATTTAGTAGAAGATATGCTTGGTATATATCATGTACTTCACTAGGCTTGGTATGTATTCACAATTACAAACGCTTGCTCCATAATAAGATGGAACTGTGTACGATATATTAAAGAAGAATAGAAGGTTGTGGAACTTCTGCTCCAGGAGGTAGAGATGCTCCAGATCCTGTTCTCCGGCGAGAGGGAGAAATCAGGAACCAACCTGAGCCCCTTGCTGGAAATGGTTCCCCGGGTAAACCAGGTGGACTTGCTTCACCCGGACACCTTTATAAATTACCTCCACAACATAATCCTCATTTGCCACATTTCGAGGATATGCCACTCAGAAAGTCCCTTTAACGTCATCCTTATATAAGTAGGCTTAAAGATACGTCGTCTATTTGACCACGCTGTCTCGTGCTGTGGCAAAACGTGAAAAGAGACGCGACTGTAGTTCTTTTTCTTCTCCTTATTCCTCTGTGACTTTAAATCCCCTAGGAGATCGAGTGCCAGGATGTAACAATACTTTTGGAAGACATTTGTCATTTAGGAAGACAGTTTTGGAAGGCCTGGAACAAAACGTGTATTTCAACTTACAATTTTTTTCTTGGCATTATGACTAGTTGTAGTTTTCTAGCTTACGAATTATTTAGCGATATCTGTTGCAACGAGGAAAGAATTATCTTGTTATATAATTTACGCAGAAGGGCTCGGAAATGATTAAAACATTGTGAGAACCAATTCTTACCTTTTTTCAGGAAAGTAATTTATAAATAATAATTTGTCATCGAGAACAACATAATCAGACAAGGATTGGTCGCCTTTCTCTTCTTGATCTCGTCATTAATTTCGAAGTCAGTGTCCTGAGTAACAGACAGTGTATCCTAGTAATCATTCAAGGTTGCGTCGGTATAAACTTTATGACATCGGCTCAAATTGTAAGCGTGACCCATTTTATCCCCTTTGCGATGCTGTATTTCAGTATAATATACCTGTAGTAATATACTCCAAATGACCCATTTGGCTTGACACTTCTGTAGAGTTTTCTTTAACGCGTTGCAATCTATGACTACATTAAATTCTCTTTCGAACGTGCATGTATACTCGGACTCGTTCTAAGGTTTCAACAGTAACTAGTGTTTGTAGTTTGAAACAATGACAATTTTTGCCGAAGTCGGCGGTTTTATGGATGGTAGATGTGGATGTATGGTATATTGGCATCCTATCTGTATGTCAAAATACTCGATAACTCGTGTATCTCGATTTCTTTGCCTTGCTCGTACATTTTCAATGCAAATGGGGAATTCTTCAATTCATTAACATGTTGAGTGCCACGCGAATTTATAAGGAAATCCCTGTCAGGCCACACGCGCTGGTTAAAAGTTGCGAGTGTCAGTCACCGGCGACTGACGCGGCCTGAACGGAAAGTTCAGTGTCAATCAGCGATGACTAACGTGGCACTCAACGTGTTACATCTAATCGCAGACTCTCGTGATCCCAATTGCCAGGTTCTATAGCCCCTTTTTGAAACGGTTTTAAAGTATACTGTCACAATATATACAAACCGTAACTTTATTTAAATATTTATACAATCTTAAATAGTGCCTTAGGAGACAAATACATCAACTCCATCACAACTTTCTATTGCTCTTCAAATTCAGCATCAGTCTCTTCTGCTTCAACATCTCTCCTGAATCTTAGACCAAAACCGGCACCAAACTGAGGTTCTACCCTGCCACCGCGTCCCGTCTGTCCTTGACCGTAACCCTTGAGGAACAACCCATTGTCAAAGTTGT